GGCATCAAATGATGATTTATTAAGAGTTTGAGTTATTAAAAGTATTATGATTATTTGAGCTATAGCATTTTGCTAGATTCGGATAAGTTAAAAGTTATCAGTTAAAGTTAACAATCTCAATATCTTATTGAGTATTCGAGCATAGTACTTAGTATATTTATTTATATTTTTATGAAGCTTTACAAGTCGGCTACGAGAACAACACTTACAAACAGTTTTTCAAGAAGAAAGGTGGGGACCCAGACTGGGTATTACATTGAGTATAATAGCTATTATCATGTTCGAGGTATGTATAAAGTTAAGTAAAGTATTAAGCTCGCTCAGTCAAGACTGGGTTCTATGGGAGGCGACCCCCAGAATGTGATCACGTGAGAACCGGCCCAAGTTACCGGTAGTTGCAAAGTTCAAGTTAAAGTATCGGTTAGATACCGAAAGATTAAGCTTAGATACATACCAAAGATCATGATATTGATATTATTATTGCTGTTTACTTTAGTATGGGTTTTTACGGAGTACAGTTGATTAGTACTCACGCCCCACTATTATCATTTTTCAGGAAATAAAGACGGTGCGCAGGTGTGAGGAGCTGTGGTGGTCGTGGATGTGAATAAGTTTTTATTGAGAATTTCCAATAAGATTTCGGGTTGTAAACCACGCTTGTAAGATATTCCGCTACGTTTCTTTAAGATTTGAACAAGTGTGATTTTAAGTGTGATTTTAAAGGTTGATTTATCAAGTTGATTGTATGAACTGCTAAGTTTTACATTTGTTCAATGTTTAAAATCTGTTTTATTTATGTCTAACTTAGTTGTTAAATAAAGTTTAAGTAAACAGATTTTTAAAGTAGATAAGTTAGTAGCATCCCTAGTTAAGAAGGTTTCGAAAAATTTATAAGTATTTTCGAAATAAGTTGCGAAAAATTTACTCTGATAAGCGGGGTGTTACAGTTGGTATCAGAGCCAAAGTTCAAACGCTCTGTATACTAAAATTTTGAGTTTCAGAAAGAAAAATTTCAGGAAAAACCGACCACACCACGCTCACACCTCGCCGACTACCAGGTAAGTGCTGTTAAAGTTTTTACAAAAGTTTATTTTCTTAAATATATGCAAATTACTAAGTCTATGCTCAATAAGATTCAAGTATCCGAACCTTACAAATCAGAATAAATGCTCAGATCAGTAATATCAGATATGTCCTCATATCCGAAATCAGAATTGTCCTCATATCCGAAATCAGAATTACAGTTGAGTTATAGCTTATCGAGTTGATAACTCGCCAAGAAATTGTGCTTTTAAAGAATTCAGTATTTATTTTCAGTTAAGATTCAAGTATACAAATAGCACTCTGTAAGGTTTCACAAGAGATATTCAGTCATATATAGTTGCTATTTTGAGACTATTATTTTCTTTAAAGTTCGAAAGTCAAGAAAGTTATCTGAACATTTTAAAGATAAGACATCAGATTAAAGTTGAATTCTGACTCTAGAAATTGATTTATTTTGAGTATGTACGATGTACATAAGTTAAAGATCAGAAGTAACGGTTTTTCAGTATATAAGAGCCATAAGTCCGGGTTTATCATGGAGGTTTCAAATAAGAACCATAAGTCCGGATATACCATGGAGGCTTGAAATAAGGTGAGTCAAAAAGAAAGAAAGAAACTGGAAGAGTCATTAATCTGAGTTTACCTGGAACTTGAATAGACATCAGTCAGTTCATAAG